TGGGGGCCGGGCCGTTGCGCCCGCAGCGCTGCTCTGGCCGCCCCGAGGCTGACACGTCCTTGGGGCCGAAGCCTCGGTTTGGGCTCCGGCGGCGGTGGCCACGCGGGGCTGGACACCCGCGTCCCGCACAGACCGCGCCCGCGCCTTGCCGGCCAGGGCGCCGGGCCCGGAGTTGGGCCGTTCCTATCCCGTTTTTACCCAGGGGCAGAAAAAGTGGGGAAACTAGAGTCGGCAGCCTAGAGGCCCCGTGAGCCTCTCCCGTGCCATCCCCGCGGGGACCCGGGTGTCCCCGTCCACGGCCGGGGTCTCCCGGTCGGAAGGCGGGGGTGTCCTGGCAACGCGGGAAGGGGGAGCCGGTGGGCGGAGCCCTCACACCCTCGCGGGCGCTGCTGGCCCCGAGGAGCCGCGCACAGGCCCGCCCAGGCCCCCTGTACCGCGCCCGGCGCCGCAGTGCAGCCCCCGCTGAAGGGCCCGCGCTGGCCCCCAGGCCAGACACTCGAGGCCGGGCCACCGCCTCTGATGGCGCGACCGGCCGTCAGCGAGGTGGACGGTGGACGGCCTCCCGCTCCCAGCGCAGCAACCGCGAACCTCGCACAGAAATCTGGGAGACACAGCAGAGCGTCGCAGAGGGGGCTGCTGCGGCCACCCGGCGCACGGCCGCCAGGCGTCCTCCTGGGTCTGCCTGTCCGCGGCCTCGCCCCTCTCCTGGCGTCTGTTTCCGCCTTTTAAAAATGGGCTAGAACCGACCGATCTTGGTGTGAACTCGGCCCTCTCCGTCCCGGTCGCGTCTGGCCGTGTCTGGCCCTTTCCATGACCCCTGGAGGGGCCTTAGACCATCAGCTCCCGGCCTTGCCCCGGGGCCAGTCCCTTTTTGGGGGACTCTTACCCATGAGGGGACTGGAGACTGGGGGAGACTGAGGGTCTGACCGGGAAGCTCTAGTCTGTGCGTCCACACTGCACTCGCAGGAGTGAAGCCCATTTCTGAGACAGGGGCTACAGCCCGGCAGGTGTGGGGCCCCAGGCGCCCCCTCCCTGCCCTGGAAAATAACAGAGGGGTGAGGGTGACTCCCAGAAAGGAAGATCTGAATTCTACTGGCAAAGGTAACAAACGGCTGCAAACTTGACCACTGGTGTCCCAAGCTGGACGCTGGGAGGGCGGCTCTGGCCCTGGGGCCCGGTAAGGAAGAAAAGTGCCTGCACTTCTGTGGGGTTCCCTCCTCGCACTGTGGGGTCCCTCGCCAGCCTCATCTCTGCTTCCTGTCCACTCCGGACCTGTCCTCTGTGTGGTGTGGGCTTCTGCGCTGAGCCCAATCAGGTCTTCAGGTCCAGGCGACCCGGCAGGCCCCAATGTCTGGGGGTGCCAGGGGCACAGGAGCCCGGCCCTTGCCGTGTCAGAAGTTCTGGGGAGTCCTTTCCTGCGTGGGGACTGGGTGTGGGCCTTTGCGCCCCTCCAGAGACACCTGGAAGCTGCCCGAGGATTCGGCAAGGATGCGGCCACCTGCGGATCCTCCCACTGCCCACTGGGCTCGCTGTTAAAGTGGGGACGACCCCGACACAGGGGCACATTCAGATGTGGGGTGCTCTGGGGTCACGGGGTGCCGTTGCCATCAGGTTACCTGGAGAGGAAAGAAACGAAATTCAAGCAGAAACATGAGGCGGCGCAGACAGTCCCGTGGTCTCTGCTCTGGCGCGGGCCTGGCGGCTATCACAAGCGCAGGTCCTCGGGCAGCGGCGGTCACTACACGTTGGCAGAGGCCGGGCCTCCCTGAATGAGGGACTTTTTGTCAGACAGTTTCGGATTTTTTAAGATTTTTTTTTTAAAAAGATGTATTTATTTGTGCATACAGAACTGAGGTACAAGCCAGAGGCTCAGGGGTGGTGAGAGGCTTCACCAGAGACAGAGTGGGGAGCAGAACAGGCAGATCCATGAAGAACACTGCTGAGGGGAGCAGCGGGCGGGTCAGGAGAGGTCTGCCACGCCATGTGGTCACCTCCGGGGCAGGCGGGGATCGAACTCATGCGGAAGCAGCTTTAGATTCTCAGTGCTGTGCTTTAACCCGCTGGGCCACCAGGGAGGGCCTAAAGATTTATTTTTGAAGATTTGTTTATGCAACAGAACTGGGGAGCAGACCAGAGGTGCAGGGGCGAGAGGAGTCACCAGAGTGGGCAGCAGCATAGGCCCACCAGGGAGGGCCCAGATTTGTCTATTTGTGCACACAAGAACTGGGGTGCAGGCCAGAGGTGGGGGGGGGCGGACTCACCAGGGACAGGGGAGCAGCACAGGCAGACGGGGCACACTGCGAGGGGCACAGGGAGACGGGAGGGGTCAGCCCTGGCCTGGAGGCCTGAAGTCATCCTTTGATGGGTTTTGTGACACTGACGGCAACGCAGCGCTGTGGGAACAGGATGCAAGTGCGCAGCCGGCCGCAGGGCTGAGCCGAGGCGGCTCCGCGTTCTCGGGCGCCAGGCAAGCAGCCGGGTCGCAGCGTGCCCGGCGCTTGCTGCAGGCCGGGGACGTGTCAGACTTCGTGGAAATACCCGTTTCTGCGTGTTCTCCCGTCTCCCCGCCCGGGGCCTGGGCGCCGCTCCCAGCGCGGTAGAGCAGAGGCTGGGAGGGGCCCGCCTGCGCCCCTGGGCGGCTCCGGCGCGGCGAGGGCCCCGGCCGGCGGCTCCGGGCCTCTGCAGCCCTCAGCTTCCTGCGCCGCTGCCAAACCCACTAGCGGTGTAGATGTGGGCGCGGCTTGGGAACCCGCCGGGGCGCAGGCTGCAGCGCCCCATCCCCTCTGTGGGCTGTGGGCAGGGGAAGGGCCGCGCCGCCCCCTCGGATCCCGCCTGGCCCCAACACCCAGTTTCCACCCCTGCGGGACCCCGTGACCCAGGGCCACGGGGCCACGGGCGCCAAGTGCGCAGCTGGGGCTGTTGGGCGGAGGGCGACCAGTTGTGGGGTCGCACTGGGCCCTGTGACGCCCACCAACCCCCCAGATGCGGCGCCTGGATGGGGCTCACTGCAGCCCAGGCCCCTCGCCCCTCGGGGGCTCCGGACGCATCTGCCAGGCCAGAGGCGAGTCCTTTCCTACTTTCGTTTTTTCCTGAGGAGGCCACACGCTGGCAGGTCCCCAGCCACTGGAGCCCCCCCCCCACCCCTCGCACCCCGCATCCCCATACACGAAATGGCTGAGAGCAGCTCCGTCAGGTCTGCAGGTGCACCTGCCGCACCTGCCGCTGGGGGCGCTCTGGGAGTGCTGCTCATGCAGTCTGGCTCCCCGAGGCCTCCGCTGAGGGGCGCTGCCCCCAGATGGGCCCCCTCTCCCCCATAGACCAAGGCTTGTCTCAAGCCAAGAGGGGAGATGGAGAGAGCATGCCTGGCGGGGTGGGAAACGTTTGCATTGCAGTTGCCTTTCAAGTTCCTCTTTCCCAGCTGAGTGTCCGTGTATTTATAGACTTTGGGGAGCATTTAAGGGGGACCAGCAGCAGCTGCTTCTCAGAATGCAGGGAAGTGATGGCCCGGCCAGGAGAGCCGCTGGGCACAGTCCGCTCGCTCCCTCCCTCCCACCAGGGACGGCAGACCAAGGCCTACAGCCCCCAGACGGGCACAATAAGGACGAGAGGGGGCTTGGGGGGGGGGGCCTGAGAGAGGCCTACTGGGGGCGCAGGTGAAGCCGGACCCACAGAGCCGGGCAGTGCCGGGAGAGGGGAGCCAGACAGCTGACCCTGGGTAAATTCAGGACTTCCCTTTGGGGCGGTGGAGTCTTCTGGAACCAGATTATGGTTGCTTGGTACTGTGAATGTGCTAAATGTCAAGAACGGTGACCAGAGGGACCCCGGTTTCAAGGTCAAGTCTCAGGGCTGTGCCACCGCCCTCGCCCCCGCAGGTGAGTCCACCCTGGCCAGGGAGGGCCCCAGGGCGTGGCAGACCCCTCCTGTCCCCCGCAGCCCCCTCCACAGTGGGCTTTAGTCCATCCGCCTGTCCTGCTCCCCGCTCTGCTCTGGGGCGTCCTCTCACTCCCACACACACACCTCTGGGCTGCGCCCCAGCTCTTGTGTGCATCAGTAAATAAAAAATAAATACACTTTGTGACCCTCACACAATTGTTAAGACGCGATGGGCCATCAGATGTTGGGAGGGCAACCATGTTCCTGGCCTTTGCTGCCTTGGCTGAAGCCCCAGGCGTGGCGTGTGGGGGCCACCCACCCCCACCCAGGCCCAATGGCCTCAGCCTGTTGCCTCACACCCACACCTGCCACAGCCCGGCCTGCCCAGCTGTCTGGCGCAGGTCTCACCTGCTCAGGCGCCTGCCCTCACTCGGGGGTCAGCTCACTGCTCCCGCCTCAGCGAGGCCTTTTCTGACGTCCTCAAAGGGGCCCACGGCCCAGCATCCTCCATCACTGCCTAAGGGTGGAGGGTGATGCCAGCTCAGCTCAGCGGCTGCATCGGCACAGCCACAGTGAGGGCGACTGTGTCCTCTGAGGAAACCATTCCTGTACTCTGCCATGGGGCTGCGGGCGGCTGCGCCAGGCACTGGGCCGGCCCACGTGACTTTGGGGGGGCTCATGTGGGCCAGGCCAGCCACGGTGGCACCTCCCAGGCTTCACGCGCTGCCACTCCCCCCTCTCGTGGCCTCTGGCCTGAGATTCCTTAAGTGATAGCTGGGTGGCACAGGCACAAAAAGCCAGGCCCCAGGCCTCTTGAGGGTGCCCCCTGCCCCCCGCAGCAGGGCGCATGCCTGGAGGCTGGGGGAGCGAGCTCTCAGACGTGCCCAGACGCCAAGGAAGATGGACTCTGCCCACCCAGAGGCTAAAGTGGTCGGCAG